ATAAAAATCTAAAACATAATTTGTGAATGCAATAGTTTGTTTTACTTTGATACTTAATAAAATTTAATATTTGACAAAGATGAAAAAATTTAAAAACTTTTTATATATAGTAATCAAATCAAAATCTTTTCCTACCACCCTAAACTCTAATCTCAAGGAACAAATTATAAGTAAAAATTTTTCAACAAAATTGGTAATAATAAGGAAGAAATTAATATCTTAGCCCGACACCATCAAATTTGAAATATCTATCATTAAACAAAAAATTCACTTTTAAAATATTTTTTTCAATGAAAAAAAATTCTCAAACTATTAAAGAAATAAAGAGTTTGATGACAGTAGACTTTTGTCAAGAATGAAGTTTATGGTTTTTGAGGAAATGCAACTTCAAATTTCCAGGTCTCCAAATCAATCATAATTTTTTAAGATTTTATTATTAAGGTATTTGAAGGAATAATGAGCAGAGTGTTTTAAAAAGAGAATATATTTAAATTAAAAAAATTAATATAAAAAATATTTATGTCTTAAAATATTTATATAATATTAAGTTTAATTTTTTACTGTTGACTAATGGCATTAACAATTTAAAGATAAAAAATATCATTTCATTTTGAAGTGTTTTAAAGGATTTTTTTTATTTTACCCTGTAAATGTATTGGTTTCATAACAAAGACGGTCCCACCTTAGCAATTTGGCCTGCAAAATAAATAGATAAATAGATATATTCTATATATCTTATACTAGCAAGGAAAAATAGATAAATAGTAAACTATAATATTTTAAAACATCAATTAACTAATTAATATTGTACAATATTTTAAAACTGACCCTTACGTTATTCAAAATCCTAGACAGATAAATAAGCCCCATTGCTGGGAATCTTGTTCATCCTTATGCAAACATATTGAAATTAATTTCCGTCAGTTTTCTCCCTAAAATCTTGCCCACTTAATGAGTTTTAAGCTGTGGCTATTTGGTGAAATAATGATTAATTAATCATGAATAGCAAAATTGAAGGATTGAAGGCACGAAATTGTTTGAATATATAGAGTTAATATTTAGAAAAGAAAACAAATACATATATATATATATATATATATATATTTGAAGTCAAAAGATTAATTAACATTAATTGAGATGTTTCCTTGTATGATGCAAACACTCCTTCTTCTCTCTCTATACTCTCTACATAAAAACCCTTTTGTTTCCCAAGCTGCAACCGGCCATACACTTTGAAACCCTACCAGGCGAAACAACTCTCTTCTCTTTTGTGTTTCCTCCGCCATGGAGAGAAGAGACAATGACGATTTTCGGAGGCCGTTCATCGCCGACTCCCCCTTGCAAAACCACCTACTTGTTCCCTCCCAAAACCATCGTTTCCGAATCAATGGCTCCCATGTTCCTTGTAACCCTAATTTCCAAAACCCTGATCTTTTTCAAAGCCCTAGCCTTGCACAAAGATATTCCACAACCCAATCCCTTCCACAAGCTTCCGAACTAAGCCATGAATGCGGCCTCGAAAATTCTTTTGGTGGATTGAATCTGAATGCGCCTTGCAATAACCACTCTCAGCTTCTTGATCTCAATGTTTATCTATATAAAATGAGGATCGATTCTGCTGTAAGGGGACAAATGGGGATGTTTCATGAGAGGTTTGTTGGCCATTCAAACTCAACGAGTTTGAATGCAGGTCAAGATTTGGTGGGACGTGGAGCCATCAGTCGATCTGCAACTTTTCCCAGTACTCCCATCGGCAATCATGACTTCAACAACTCACAACGTAGGAGTCAGTCGTTGGATGAATTGGCTTCCGCATGTCCACGTAGACTGATCAACAACCCTGAACGTCAATACCGGAGTAACGCATGGGCTCAAAACTCTTCCTCTTTGCTGTCTTCTTCCATGTATAATCATCGTCCAGTTGTTTATCCCCACCAGCGTATGAATTATTCCTCATTGAAGGAATTAAAAGGACAGATTTGTTTGGTGGCCAGAGATCAACACGGTTGCCGTTTCCTGCAGAAGAAATTTGATCTTCAAATCATAACGAGTGAGGAGATTGAGATGATTTTTTTGGAGGTGAAAGATGAGTTGCATGAGTTGATGGTTCACCAGTTCGCTAATTACCTGGTTCAGAAACTTTTCGAAGCAGGCACTCAGGAGCAAAGGACTGAGCTGCTTCTCGTGCTCGTTAGTAGCGAACAAAGATTCGTGCATGTTTGCACTGATGTGCACGGGTAAGTACGAATAATATTAATTTGTCCGTTTTTTATTGTATAGAATTTTTTCCATTTGTTTTTCCTGACTTGTCAGTCGAATATTTCAGCACTCGGGTGGTTCAGAAATTCATGGAGCGTGTCTCCACTCCAGAACAAAGATCTATTCTTCTGTCAGTGTTGAAGCCCATTGCTGTCACCTTGACCATCGACCTCCATGGTCATCATATCATTGAACAGTGCTTGAATAAATTCTCAAATGAAGATACAAAGGTAAAATACTACTAAAATTTGCCTCATATTTATATATACCGGACGTGGTTCTGGTGTGAATATATACATATACTTACTTGTGTGCTTAACTAATTCCACTTACTGATCTTACGTACTGATATATTCCTTGTAGGAGGGGCGTCCTAGAACAGTGTATAATATATAGGATCATGTATTTTGAATGCCTTTTGATTTGTTTCAATCATATACAAGAAGGAACTTCGCTATAGCATTGTATAGTATAACTGCTGCTATAATATTAGCTTTTCTCTTATTTCCTTCTCATGGGAGAACTTTAAAGGCAGTATCTTATGAGGTTTTTACTTCAATGTTAGCAAAGGGGGTGGAGCTTGGAAATATTACTATGTAAATATATTGATGGTGGACATGCAAGAGAGGTATTTATTATCAAAGTGTCTGCAACAAACTGCCCGGCCCTTAATTTGTATATATGGTGACAATTGTACGTATTCTCAAGTCAAGAACCATTCCATTGTTATTCTCAAAGTCAACATTTTTGGGGGTAAAAGTTGTTTTTTTGTAGCTTTTACACAATTTAAATGAGTCTGAGCAACAATTGGTGCATGAGCAACCTGTGTCTTTGCATGACTTTTTAATTAGTATAAAAACAATTAATCAAAGCAAAAGATAAACAGGACATGTTTGTCTTAAATCATAATAAGTTGTTCATGAGTACTGTAAGTGTCAATTAGCTGAAGGATTTTATGCATAGATTTCTGAACAAGCATCTTTCTTTGGCAGCACCTTGTGGATGAAATTGTAGAACACTGTCTTGACAATGCAACTGACAAAAGCGGCTGTTGTGTATTGCAACAATGCTTGGCACATGCTAAAGCAGAAGCCAGGGAGCGTTTGCTGGCTGAAATTACTGCAAATGCCTTCGTTCTTTCTGAGCATCCTTACGGGTTTGTTTTACTAAATCTTCTTCTTATTTAAAGTACGTAGCATATGAATAAGAAACGTATTCCTTCTGTCTCGGCTATGAAGTGTAATTAATTATATCATAATATCAACATTTTGGATGATTTTTATACTATATAAGTTTAATATCATATCTACTAGTTTATTTTTATTTCATAGCAACAGTAATCAGATTTATATACCAGGTACTATTTATGTTTATATTTTCCAGGAACTATGTCGTGCAATATGTACTTGGAATGAAGGTACCCCCTGTGACATCAAATCTAATAGAGCAGCTCGGAGGGTCTTATGTTACACTTTCCAAGAATAAGTATGGCAGCAATGTGGTTGAGAAATGTTTGAAAGATGCTGGAGAAGAGCATTCTGCCAGGATTATCACAGAGATTATGCATGATCCAAACTTCTTAAAGGTTCTTCAGGATCCCTTCGGGAACTATGTTGTTCAGTCAGCCTTGAATGTTTCTAAGGTCACCTTTTCAATCTTCACTTCTTGATTTAATTTTCCTATGCATACTTGGACTTAGAGCAATATGTTAATTCTTCTTAATTATTCGAGAGCTCGTTGACCCTTTTTCTTTTGTTAAATGCAGGGAGATCTCCACAATGCTCTTGTTCAATTCATCCAACATCATTATCCCTTTCTCCACAGCCATCTGTTTGGGAAAAAGGTGTTGGCCCGAACCAGAGAGCGCAGGAACCGTGTATAACTAGCATTGTACGCTGTAAGGATAAGCTAAAGAAACAAGATAAAATTGCTTCTAGTGTCTCCGTCTCACACTCGGCTGTGTCTTCAGCAGCGGCACCTTGGCCCCTGTCATGACAATGTTGTCACTTGTTAGGATTTCTAGTTTTGGAAACTAATAAAAACCAATTGATACGATTTGTTTTTAGGATGCTTTAGTCGTCGGTCGTTGTTGTCTGCGTACTGTCTGTAGTTTCGGATTAGGGTGGGTGAGCACCAGGCAATATAGAAACACGTACTGTATTAATTTCCTATCCTGGCACTGACATTGTTTTATGGTGCTCCTTTAGTTTGTTGCTTGTTATATATTATCTTTTGTCTGTGAAGAGGTTTTTTTGGAATTTCCATTCCAACGTGCATGATTTTAGTACTCAGATTTTTATTTCCTGTCTCTGTCTATATATTGCTACAGTGAAGCCACCATGTTACCCTCAATAATCCAGATTTTCCAACATTTGGAAAACTATTCTCTTTTCAGAAAGCTGTAATACTGGAATAAAATTTTGAAAAATTAAATTTAAAATCCCCCATTAAGCCAGACGATTGCTGGATCTTGTTTCAAAAATTTTGGGGCTAAGAACATGATCACATGAACATGAAGATCAGTAAAAGCGGGATTAAGCTGTACACAATCTATCAATTTTTCATCATTGTCACAATCGCAAGAGAGAGTAGAAACACGAAATGTTTATAGAGAAACCAGAATAACTGTTTTACCAAAAACTTTTACTGCCTAAAATATTATCCTAATTAGGGAGACAAACTTAAGCAAATGCTTCATGCTTTGATGCCACCATGCTACCACCCAATGGGATGCTGTGATGTAAACCAAAAACAAAGATAATATTTCCTTTGTAAAAACATGGATCATAGTACAAAATAACAACAAAATTCCATCAAAAATTTTAATGTGATGTAAAGCAAATGACTGTCATTTGCTTTATAATAGTATTAGATGGAATGATGATGAATCCTATTCACTTCCACTGAAACATATATAGACGTTTACAAATCCACACACCCCGTTCAATCTGAATCGGATGAGTCTGCATTTGAGCTCTGCCGCACACTCCTCTTGGTCTGTGCACCAGACTTCGATGCCTGTAAAGATGATTCACCCTCAGAAAAGATGACTTGAGCTTTACCCAACCTCTCCTCCAAATCTTCTGTGGCAAACTCGTCTGTCCCACCAAGCTCATCAAATCCAACCTGAAAAAGATACCACACATCAAGACAGAGGGAACTATTACCAACAGAAAAAAGAAACATAATTCAATTCAAATGTTACGTATATACACTTTGATGCTCGAAGATAACATTACATACCACATAATCATCGACTTTGGCATTTTTGATAAGGGCAAGTGTAGGAAGAACAACGATCTTCAGCCTCTCAGCCAAGAATGGGCTTTTCTCGGCATGGATTTTAACAAAACGTGTCTCTATATGCTGCTTTGCCAATATACTCAAGTGCTTGTCCATCACCTGCAATTGAACTCCAAACATAAACCGTTTTGCCTCTAGTTCAAAATCCACTTCAAAGTTCAACAGAACCCCAGATTAATCAAAATTGTAACTTTGGCTAATTGCATTTTGCTTTTCACCTTTTCTTCTTTGTTTAAACAATTTCAGCTTGTCAAAGTAAATGTATTCTTTAGCACTTCAAGGGCGATAAGGATTTTAAGAATTACAAATTAATTTTTATTCTTGCTTGTTCACTTCACAGTATTACAAATTGAAATAAAAGCGAGTACCTTGCAGGGCCAATTCTCGCGATAGAAATGGCAAACAACGCGCTCGCTAGCTTTAACAATTGAAAAGAAGTCCTTTTCAGCGGGAATCTCTGAGTATTCTCCGTGGCCTAGACCGATCCAACGGCTCCGCTTCTCCGCCATCTTCTTCATTTGCTGCAACCTCCGTTCTCTGATGGCCTCCAGATCGTCGCTGTCGAGGCGATCCAACGCCGCGATCTCTTCATCGATCTTTTCCTCGACGGCCTTCGCCACCGTCAGCACCTGCTTCTCCAGGATCTGGACAGGAACAAAAAAGCATTGAATTTAGAAGACAAATTAAAGATTCGCACGTGCGAAGGCTTAGGGGCATGTGTTGATGTTACCTCTTGAACCTTCGGATTTTCCATTGTTGGACTGAAAGATCTCCTTGCCTCTCCCTCTCGCTGGAATTTCAAAATCGAAATGAATTTGGAAAGTGGAGAGTGAGTGAGAGATGGGGATAATCTCCGCTTCGGGTTCAGAATATAATGCAGAAAATGGTGAAAGAGACGACGCCGTTTTATTGAGAAATTTGGGCCAAACAGAGTAATATATGAGCCTATGGGGCCAATTGGGTATACTGTAAAGAGGTCCTGCTTCTATCGGGGGAATGGAATAGTCTATCAGGGAGATAGAGGATTAGTTAATAACAAGGCCCGTTGGTATTGGCTATTTCAAGAGACCATAAATAGAATAAAATTGTCTTTTAGTAATTTAAAGAATTACTATATTATATAAAACACATTTTATTCATCTTTTATGATCTCTTTCTCTCTATCCAACTGCCTCTCTCCCTCTCTCATTAAATTGAAATGAATTTAAAATAAAAAGGTTTAAGTTTTAATTAATCTTTTAAACTTAAAAAATTAGATTAAAATTTTAATTATAAGATTTTTATATTTTGATATCTTAAAAATAAAGAATAAAATAATAAAATTATTGTTGTAATCATAAATATTTTAATTTAAAAATTAAATATTATAATAAATTATATTTTATTATTTATTATTTAATTATTTAATTATTTTTAAAAATATTCTTGTCAATTAAACATTAAAATAATTCATAATAATAATTCTTATCCTATTTTATTCTCATGAACTAAATTACATAATAATTATTTATTTCTTATTTTATTCTTATGAAATAGATATCTTATTCTCGCTCTATTTCTTCTTGTAAATCAAACACACTCTAAATATATTAGGCTCGATTTCTATTGAGAGAAACCTATCCATGAGTGAGGAAGGAAAAGTTTCAACGACTAGGCACGGGGTTCATCAGTCATGTGGCTTCTGTGTTCTCTTCTAAGAAGAATTTTGGTAAGCTTATCTAATAAAACTCCACCATTCCGATATTCTAATGAAAGCTAACACCAACTAATAAACAAGACTGAAGGTTAAGGATGGTAATACCAACATGTTTTAATGTGATGACACCAAAAATTAAGGATTATTCATTCCTTCAATATTGAAGTTTTCTCTTTAAAAAAATGATTACTGAGGTTACAGTAGTTGCAGAACCCAAATGTAACAAATAGGAAATCCCATAACACTAACCCAAAAGTTTTTTCCATATATTTTTGAAAAGAAAAGTCTTCTCCATATACATTATGGAAGAAACTTTACATTTAAGGCCCTTTAACAGTCTGGGTTAATTAAGTAAAGGCCTATAGACTTGAATTGAAGCCACTGCTCAAGGACCTCTAAGAATGGCCAACATGGAACCATTGACATTGATTTTGAAAGAAGCAAAGGGATTTAATTTCCAACCAACTCAGCTCCAGGCACTTAGTAAGTGTTGTTTCCCTCCTCCATTCACAGATAACTGCATTTCAAGAATGCCTCGGAGGGGAGTAGGCAGGCAAGTATTTGATTTATGAGATTTAATTTTTATTTTTTTTATAATTAAAAGAAAGAAATTCGAATTTTACATTGTAAATAAGAAATCATGTATTGATCAATAAGTTAAATACTCGGCTTATGAGATTTGGTTGATAATATGTCATTGTCAAAATTAAATGAACATTCGTTGTGGTTGATCGAAAGTATTGACATAAGCAATAAGATTGTCAAAGTAGTTGCGGTTGCCCCAAAGATTTGTGGGTGGAAACGATTACATATCTCTTGCTTTGATGTTTGATGTCATATTTTCTTTGCCAGGAAGCACAAACGTAACAGGTTCAAACTTCAGAGAATATAAGCTGAATTCTCTTCATATGGTTTCTAAAGCGTCAACGATGAGTCTCAACGTATTGACTCTAAAATATTAACACACCTCGGAAAATGATTGCACCAACCCCCCAATAAAGCCATAAGAAAAGCCACTGTGCAAGAGAAATTAATACGAATATGAATAAATAAATGCCAAGAAATAAATTAAAGGGGAACAAGAAATATTTTATTATTATAAGCACATGCATATATGTCTTCCCGTACAAATGACTAGTACAAGTTCACGCATCTCTCTCTCTCTCTCACTCTTTTGCTCTAGCTATGGAGCTCACTCGGATAATTCAATTACAGATATTGAAGGCCTGTTTGAACTTCAAGGGCACTTTGGCGTGCCCTTCTTGCTCTTCTTGTCCCTGTAGCAAGGGCACTCGTGCTTGTTTCCATAAGTTCCTGAAGGCACGCACTTGCACTGCTCACAGCATAACCCACAGTACTGGATGCACCGATCCCACACCGCTGCCTTCTTGCACCTAGCGTCGCACTTGCCCACGCAAAACGCTGCAACAACAAAATTAACAAAAATATCAGACCCATTTCGTCCATAGCAAAAAGGTTTAAGCATGCGGAGAAAAACTGGAAACTGTAAAGTTAGAAGGGAGTAAATTGCTCACGTGACCGAGGCTGAGCCATGGCAGGTTCCAAGAGTGAAGAACTCAGAAGAAGAGAGCAAACCAGCAAAGTTGCAAACAAGAGCTTCATTTTTTTATGCTTTCTTAACTTTGAATTCGACTAGGTTAACTATGTAGAGAAGTAAAGTGATCAGTTTCAGGCGACAGTAGTGAAGTGTAGTGGTGCCTTAGAGCTGAGAGGGCATTTATAGTGAAGAAAAGGCAAGTAGGGCAGTGTAAATTAGTGAGTGAGGTAATAAATAATTTGCAACAGCTGGAAGGTTTTGGCGCATTTTGAAGGGAAAGGCCGGTGAGAGGAGACAGTGAGCAGTGGGGTCAAGGACTTTCCACGCGGTTTCTGCAGGAGCGAAAATGAAAGTTGCTTGGACCCTTTGTCCTTTTGCGCCATCAATCAGAAGGGTCCGGCCTCTGCCGTCTCTTTGGTGAACCTCGTTGGTGTTAATGTAGTACTACGAATGAATTAATGATTCCACTGCATTCAAGTCTTTTACCTGTCCAATTTCATCATCTATTCCATTATGTGACAATGTCTGATGTTAGTATGGTTTTTGGGTTTTGTCACGTGAGTTCACTGTCCAACCTTTCAAGACAAAAGAGAAATCCATTTTCTTTTGTTTGATTTCAGCTTTCAAGCCAATGTAGCATTCCAGTCTAATAAACTAGTATTTTGTCATGTCCTAAAACAGAAGGGAAATTTATGAAAATACTTTTTCAGTGGGAGTACGAAGATGCTGTTCTAGGTGTTCTTTTCCCTTCAAAAACCGTCCCTATTTAGTTGAGAATCTGTTTATGGGTTATACTACTACACACCCTTCCAATTTTTTAAATCCAAAACTTAGAAAAAAAACATTTAAGCTTCGTGATTAAGGGGCAAATGACCGTTGCCCTCCATTGACAGCTACTACGTAAAAACTATAGGAAATATAATAATTTCAGGGCCAAAAATTATCAGAGAGAATACGAATTTGTGATGTGGAAAGCTTCACATGAATGGCCCCAACTGCCCAATCCTTGAAAAAAATCCCTTGACTGTTCTCTTTCTGATCTAAAGAAGATGTGATGCAAAATTTCAAATCATTGCCTCTCAGTGTATGGCATGTACAAATTTAAATGCTAAAGTTACGTCTGACTCTAAAGCGTGGCAAATTAAACTTTTGCTTACAGAGGAAAATCTCGTCTAACATGCATGATTTATATGTTGAATAAAAATACATCCATATAACTTTAAGTAAATGTCATCAGTAATCATTATCTATAATTACTATTAACAGTTTGTAGATATTTATCCAGCAAAAGATATTTTTTTCTTAAAGAAAAAGTAAAAACAGAAAAAAATATTCAAAAAATCCTACACTTAAAGGAGCCCAGTACAACAACCAACTAAAGTAGGCCATGCCCATTACGTTGCCTCAAATGTTACCGAGCTACTGTTATCACCACAGTAACAGAGAACAGGTCTAGTTCATTTTATATTTCACAATGATTACATTAAATATTTCAGATAAACTAAAGGTGCTAACCTATATGAACTGTGTTTTCTCACCCAATAGAATAACAGCATAAGGAAAAGGGAGAGAATGCAGCTTTTCGTATGTACATAAATTAACCTCCCATACTATTGGATGGGCAAGAGTTCTGACCAGGACAAGATTCCTTGCTACAGTCGGAAGAAGCCAGCAAATTGACCTGGTAATTGTACACCTTGGGGTTTCAGCATCTTTGGAAGATTGAGACACTCAGAAATATAAGGAAAAACAAGATGTAAGATATATACCTTGACAATTTCAGACCTCGAGCTTGGTCGTGTATAGGCAGCTAAGATGCTCATGTTGAAAGCCTGGGAATAAGGATATTTGAAATTAAAAGAAGAAAAATAATGATAATAATTGAAGTAGGTTCTACCATGAGTGGAAATGCCAAGTTTGCAGAAGCACTTAAAAAATTCCATTAGAAGATATTACGATAACCACTAAATACAATGGATTTAGTTATCACAGTCAATCAGCTATATATGATTTCATACGAAGGTTCATTAATGCAGGCAATACTGCAGAAAACAGCCTGCTCTTAGTGTGTTCAGTTCTACCCACGTTATAAATGATTTCTGAAAACAATAGGTTCAGAAAACAAACACAACAAAAGCAAGGTGAACACATTAAACTGATTTCTTGTTCAGTATATCAGAGGGCATACACCTAGATATGTAACTCATGTTTGACAACCATATGAAACAAACAATGGAACAAGGTCGGCTAATAACAAGTGGTGCCACTATTTGTGAAGGCTCCATTTAACAGAGATCAAAACAAAAAAAAATTTGAGGGTAAAAAATTATTCGCAAAAATTTTGAACATGTCAAAATGCTGCTTTGAATAGAGAATTTAAAATCACTAATTTCCCAGGTATGCACGTCTACTTACAAGGGGAAAAAATATCACCCGAAAAATGTTAAACTCACCCTAAAGGGATCCCCCCTCAGTGATTGCACAAACATTGAACTCCCTGAGGCTTTTCCCTGCATAAAATAAATGCATTAATTTCCTTCTCTTTTTGGCAATATGCAGATGAATAACATTAAATATAATAAAAAAATAGGAGAAAAAATTCGGGAAGGAAAGGATATTGAGGGTTGTTTTATCAGAAGCTAACTGCCAGGTAAGAAATTGGAAAAAGAGAATCCCATTCTCACATTCACTAAGTTTCTTTCCTCTCATATTTCTATGTACTTGTTCGGGTAATAAATTGTGCTTACAACTCTCTCTCCCTTAACCAAGTTCTTTCTTTAGTTCACAAGCCAATTTCTCTCTAAGCACTGTCTTCTTTTCATGACAACAGTCCGAAAAAATTGTCATAACTGCTTAACCTATTTGTTCCGCTTCTTGCATTCCTTTCCTCAGCAGTCCTTTCACTTTTTTTTTTTTTTGCAATCGCTCATTCTATTTTTCATTCCTTGCTTTAATAAAATGATTTATGGGTACAGCAAAATTTTAAAAACCAAACAAAACGGCCCAAGTTAAAACCTAAAGGTTTTCTTTTCCTAAAAGCTATTCTGCTCATTCCAATCATATGCAAATATCCCCATAAACTGAACATGTATCAACATTTAAGCAAGTTGGTTCTATATTTTCAGCAATTTTTAGCCCTTAACTCCAAACTTTATGAAAAGCACAAAGCACAAATAGTTAAAACCTTGTCACTACCAAATCCTACATCCCCATGAGAGAGAGACAGTGGAATAGATCCTGTCTTCAATATTCGTCCATGCTAGGCACGTGAGTCCATACTCACTAAATCATTCTATTTTATAAGTCAGAGAACATCAATGTTAGACATAAAATTTGCAAATTGAAACTCATGTACCTCCAAAGAAATATCCCTGAGACGCCTTCCAGTTTGAGCACAGCAAACACGGACAACTTGTTCATCACAGCTTCCACTTATAATATAGTCCTTACCGTTCATGTAGTAGGAACGAGTGTAATTTTGTGAGCTTCCAGTAGAAGGTATCTGAAAATTCAGGTGAAGCCTTCCATCAGCAGCCAGAAGCTGTCTAACCTGTCAATGTCTAAATGTTAAACTGAAGTCCATACCAACATCAACTTTCTTTAAAGATCAAAGTAAAAGCTTCAATTACATGGCATATATCTGAGAAAAAAAAAAGAGTAAATATTTACAGTTATAAAACTTAATGCAAAATTTAAACAAGAGAAAGAAGCAGCAAGCCAACATGACATGAACAAAAACGCCCAAATGCAATTATAAGAAAAGGCACATTTCAGTTGAGTTTTGCAAGTCTTCACCAAAGATTTAAAAAACTGAGAAAATCAAGTCTTGCACATTTCAGAAAGTGGCAGCTATAGCTTGAATCCACAATCTTGCACAAGCAACATTCAGAACTGAAATTGAAGATATGAGCAAAAATTGAAAAACCAAACCCTTAATATGAAGAAAAACAGCAATCTATTCACCCAAAACTCTTCCACAAAAGCAGTTAAGTTGTAGTAAGAATTTCTAGCGAAATCTATTCTTAACCAAATAGCAGTTTTATCTCCAGACCCATCCATTTATTTTTGAGTCTGGATCTTAAAGAACAGGTCTACTTATAGGCCCAGAATGAAACTAGATGTCAAAATACATAGAACAATATTGGCACCAGCACTAACTCATGCGGTTAATTATAATAAAAATTACCTCATTGTCAACAGCTGAGGCAAGAATATAGTGATCATCTGGAGAGAAGCAGACCATCACATTTCCTTTAGAACTTGAAGCAGTATAGCAAGGCCTTATTGGCTTCTGTCTCAAGTCCCACATTTTAATATCCTGATCAAATGATGAAGTTGCAAAAATTGATGGGGAATGGTTTGAAAACTTGACTACATTAATATGTTCTTGATGCATATCCGTGAACACTTGTAAGCGTCTTCCACTGTTGATATCATACAGAGCAACATTTTTTGAATACCCACTTGCGAGAAAGAGTTCATCCGTAGAGTTAACATGAACAGATGTTAATTGGTCAAACTCATCAAAGGTGACAGAACCAATGCCAGTATGGATGCGCTTGCAAGTAGATGCACAATGCTGGATATCATACAGCTTCAGTGAGCCATTATCTGAACCAGCTATGAGCTGAATAAAAAAGGTAAAAAACCAAATCAAAAACAACCACATTTATTGCCTTTATTGAGGGATTGATATTAGGAGAATGGTTGAGTTCTCTAAATGCGGTAAGTGTGAACTTTCAACTAAAACACTAAAAAAGTTCAAAAAGGAAATAGGTAATAGAGTTTAATAGGGAAATACATTTATTTAGAGAGCACTACAATTTAACCTCTCTTAAAAGTGCCTCATGAGACTTACCTTAGAAGGATACTTCTTGAGCCAACAGAGCCCCAACACACTATTCATTGCCCCAAGTGAAGGGATGTAACTAACAATTTTCTCGTTTTCATGGTTGACAACAACTACTTCACCATCTAAAGTTCCAAAGACCATCAGGCTGGAATTAGATGGATGATACTCAAACTGCCTTGGACGAAAGCTCCTTCTTTCATCTCCCAAATCACTGCCTGAGATAGAAACTGAATGCAGAAATGGCCAAGGTGCAGATCCCATTTTGGCAGCACAAAGAGATCTGGTATAAAAATACTGTGAATTTCCAGCAAGATCCAACGGCCTTTGCTTCGGTGTCCGCAAGCTAGTGTGGCGTTCTCTAATTTCACGCTTCTGCAAGATACTAACAACACTTTCTTTATAATACCTTCTATAAGGTAGGTACTCAAAATGTTTTAAAAAAGTCACATTAGCCATTTCCCTGTCAACATTTCTGATAGGTAAGTTATCCAAAACTCTCAACTGGGGTATTGAAGATATCATGTACTCCCTATAATGTTTCTCAAAGCATATTGGAGAAGCATGTTGGGAAATGTACTTGAATGAACCATCTGCAACATGCCTTGCGAAGGCACCTTCACAAGACTCATCTCCATTTTGATTTGACAATGTAGCAGAGGAAACCTGTCAAATAAATTACAACAACAAATAAGGACTATTAAAACAAAGGCCGAGAAGGTGTTAGACAAGATAAGGAGAACATATTAATCCAACTTCAAAGAAGAACTTTCATAGTCAATTGATTCAATTAGGAATTTAGATTGAAAACCACAACTAAATCCAAACATGGCATCCTCATCCATTTCTCAGTCTACAGAATTAGATTGAACACCACAAATAAATCCTAACATGTTATCCTCCTCCATTTCCCAATCCACCTAATATTACAAGAAGATAATGAGAAATGAAAAGGAAATGATAACAACAATCATTAATAACTTAACAACAACTTCAATTTAAAGAATTTAACTGGCATATCAGAAATAAACTTGCTGTAAAACTAAATTATTTTTCCTTGATACCATCATTATATTATAAAATAAACCAATAATAACTTCATTTTTAGCCCCTAATACCCATAATGTGCTATTTACTGAAACAGCTCAAGACACTAGCGATAAGAGTCCATAGATTCACCTCACTCGGTAGATTGATCTCTCTGTTCCACCCAGGAGGTGAATTTGATGATGAGTCCATGTAACTATCCTCTAGGTGAATAGAAAAATCTACTTCACTATCATCCGATGACTCCTCATTTGAGCTTTGAAAATTATGATTCATACTGAATGCTTCTGGAAGAAAAGTTCTCGTTGCCTGTTGAGTGATGGAGTTAAGTTCTATAAGTAAGCCAAGATTAACAGACGATGTTACATGGTAACAAGCACTTCTTGGTTGACTGGGTCCAGTTTGGTCATCTCCACCGCATGATCCAGAAGATCCAACATCATTGCAGCATAACCAATTTTGAAACCTAAGTTCAACCAAAGAACGGAGTTTGGAAAGTGCCGCAATAGTAGTCCATAAGTTGGCAATTCTGGTCTCACACATCGAGAGACACATTAGATTGGGCGTGCAAGAAAAACAATCCTCCCGGAAACTAGTGAGTGTTGTGCTATAGTCAAGGTTAAGGGTGTGCAACCACATGAACTCCCCCACCAAGTTGAGCTTCCGGAAATGTGAAGACCTCAAGTTCAGAACTTGACATTGTAGACCTCCTTGAGAAAGGTCCCTGATTGTACAACTCAAATTAGTTTAAAAATCAAAGACACATTTAACCATTTATTAACTTCACAAATTTTTCTGGAAAAAATAAAGCAGCTGCCTTAACATGCATTACATAGAAAGCACAAAGCACAGGATGCAGTAATTACAAAAGTGTACAACACAACTTGTGGAATGAAAACTTAAGCAATAGAGAGAGAAGAATCTGAATTCCGAGTAACAGTCATCCATCTCCGGATTGTACAACAACATACACTCATTCAGGCTTCAGTTATAATTGAAACACTGCCAAAATAAAAGTTAGCAGATCTTAAAATGTGAATCTTTGGAAGTATCTCCGGATTGTAAAACAGCATACACTTATTCAGGCTTCAATTATAATGGACACACTGCCAAAATAAAAGTTAACAGATCTTAAAATGCGAATGTTTGAATTACTTCCAGTCCCTCTCATTTGCTCAAGCTAACAGAGAAGAAATCATTAATGAGACTGTTAAGCATCCAACCTAAAATCAATTCGCCATAGGTGGCGAGGGCCAAGCCAAAAAAGAGCCACAGCAAACTCTAAACTTAACCGATGTGGGATAATAACACTTGACAGGGACAAATCAAACTAATAGCTCCAGCTGGTAGAGATGGTGGAATCCTTGAAACATCATCTACCAGAGGCTGACAGAAGCAATCTGTGCAGTCAACCATTTGCAAAAGGAAAACAGCCAGTAAAAAAGAGAAACCCAGAAAGAACAGTAAGTTTGCCTGTAACTTTGATAAGAACAGTGATGTGAGCTTTTATGCATCTACAACTTGCATTTATTTCATAATCAAAGGCCTCACAAGCAGATGATTCATATCTTTCAAACATGCATTGGAACCATTTAATGTAGTCATTCAGGATTTGTTCATGAAAAGAAATACTGCACCTAAAGGAACAAATCGTTGCCAGTGATTTTTTTTTTTTTTAGGGAAGGGGAATTCGAACCCATACTTTTTAAGCAGGGAGATCATAAACTAATCAATGAGCCAAATGCTAGTGATGTTAGCACCTGAAGAAATCATTCAAGTACCAGCACAGCTATAATCTTATTCACATTGAGATCACATTGCAAATGAATCAGCACTTAAAAGGTAAAAAAAGGAGACGGATAGAGAGAAAAAGAAGAAAAAAAAGAACTAAATCTTTTCTAAAGCCAAATTCACAAAAATGATATCCCTGTCTAAACCAATCCAGATATAACTAAATGACAAGCAATATCCATTTTTAGCTAAATGACAACTACATGGTTAAAATCTAGAAGGCATTTTAACTTCTTGACAACATGGACTTCTTTTTACAAAGATCTGTACATGCTTCTTCCAAAAGCATTTGTAATATAACAGTGGGATCGAGTACTCCAATGATGAAATAAGTTTATGTTACAGTAGATACAAAATAAACTAGGACATTATAATCATTAAAATCATTGAATCCAAGTATGTTAATAATATTTACTCAATCTTAATCTAAACTAGCATTAAAAGTTGTAGGTTCTTGAAAAAACCAAATTATCTTAAATCCATTTATTATTCTTTTCAAGTCATGTTGATTATTTCATTCTAATCTCCTCAGGCAACTATAGAATTCAATGTATATTTACTACTATATTGAGAAAGAATAATGTAATTATCAATCTCCTTGCCCCTGCTAGACAGTTGTTATTTAGACAAATGTCAAATGATTATATCACCTTCAGAATATTTAATAAGCAATATATAAAGGAATTAAGTTAAGTTATTAGAACTCACAGAATAAATTCAAAATGAGAATAATACCCTCATCTTATTTATCTACTGTCACCCTTGTACACATCGAAACACATCATACGTCTCACGTCAGCATATTCTTTTCAAACAAAAAACATGTTAGTATTGAAGTATTTAAAAATAAAATAAGAAGTGAATACCAAAAATAATAGATTTCCAAATTATTCTACTGCTACATCAACTTAAAACTAAACTTAAATTGCCATCATTACCTCTATTTACACCTAAAAGATCATCAAATCTTATGTTATAGAGGAAGGAGCAAGGAAAAATGAAGTTAATCAGCAATGTCAATCATTAGATATTTGGGTTACCAAATCACATCACACGTATTAGGAAAAGCCCTTTTTTTTTTACGTTTTTATCCTTCTCTTTTCTACAGTGTGGCTTGTTTAGGATTTTTGTGTTTGAGTTGATGACAAGCAATACTGATACAAGTAAGTCATCCTAAAATCTGTTTTGAACTCTATCTTGTGCATCAAGGAGAATATTTCTTGGTTGTAGCTTGGCCTCTTCTGTTCTCTTTCAAGTTTCTACGCACTTAAAGTTTAGGTTCAGTTGAGTTTGTTCACAACACCAAACCACCCTCCACCACCCTCTCCCCCCCTCCCCTTCAAAAAAAAGAAAAAAACAAAGAGCATAATGGTGATTTTTGTGCGATCATGATTAAGAGCTTACCGGTCATTGATTGTCATATCTAAAAATAATGTAAACTCGTGGAAGTGGCTACGATCAACATTTTTGAAGAAAACAAGTAATGGAGAAATCATAAGCTACCATATGGGTAGATTATTCTACACAAGTAACGAACAAAAAGGGAAAGTCTGCTTAACATGCCACACTAAAAACATTGAATCAGAGCATTATTGGTTAATAGCACTCTTTGCTACTTCTTCCTTTTTTTCAAAATATGCAGTTCCCTGTTGAGATCCTAAAAGTATAAACTTACCTCCCAAAAGGTGCAAGTGAGGGGATTAAGTATTATAAAAATTTAATGCATGAAACACCACATAACTCATAAATTATTAAAATTAGTTAGAAATTGTTCAACATGTTAAGCCTGAAAAGTAATCTTTTCTTCACTCCCATGTATCCAATTGCTTAAAGTTTCTCCAACCAAAATTTTACAACTTCACCATTCTAACATCCCTTAAGAAGTGGTAATAAAAATATAAATTCATCTATGTTTAAACAACTACAGAATCAGATATTTTACTCAAAGACAATAGTGTGTAATAAACACTGTTATATACCGCAAGAAGTCCTTCCCAAATGACAAATCCTGGAGATCAACTATTCGAAGTTTTTGACCAATAGATCGCATCAGTAACAAAGCATACTCTCCAGTCAATGCACAAGATGATTCATTAAGCACATCAACTGCTTCAATCTCAGATTCACTGATTTTCATAGACACTTCAAGAAGTGAATGAAAATCAATATCCTTCACATTGTCCAATAAAATCTCCAGGATACATACCTCATGACAGGATTTTTTAACCTCAGCCTGAATAGTTGAAAAACAAAAAAGGGTAATTATCAGATGTAATAAACAGCCACCAAAAAGAAAGAAACATGATGTTGCTGCATAGAGCATCCAAGAAGGAGAGAAAAAATTAAGGTGAGTATTTGACATATTTAACTCTAGAAGTAGATCTCTCTTTGCCACATTGACAAAGAGGAAGAACACAGTCTTTTGAGCCAAAATTTTGGATGTGATATTAGGTTGAAAACCGTCAAACTAAAACTTATATAATGCATTGCCATCTGTTACCATTAAGACTAGGGCAGTAGTGCCCAAGGGTGCCTACAACTCTACCACCACCACAGACACACCTAGAGCTAGCCAGACAACAATTAGGACTAGGTTATTTATATCACATTCTTTGATTATTAACAAAATACCAGGATGTAAATACTATGTCAGTTCAAGTTCAAGGGAGCTTTTGATCTTTGAGATATTAATATATTGTAAGATTTGAGAATTATTGAAATTTCCCTTGGTTTGGAGTGTGTTCTTCAAAGTCTTTGCATTTCTGGAGTATTTTGTACTCATCAAACATCACTAAGTGTGCTGTGTGGCAGTTAACCAATTTCATTTTCCCTAGATCAAGAAAGTCACAAAACCAGCTAAATAAACTCTTTTCCCCTTCACCAAGTACTCCACCATAAGGATGCACCTTGAACCATCATTCCATTTATTAGATGTCTTAAGCATAAATTATATGCCTTTGCTTTTTGAGGGATAATTAGATGCACTGGTACAGCCAAACACTTTGTAACAACACTTAACCCCAATCTTCAACTCTTAGAGCATCTCAAGCATACTATATCTAACATTAGAAATTATCCCTTTCTTACTACAGCCTGAAATAGGTCCAAGAAAAGAGCTCACAGAGATTACACGTGACATCGAACATTTTCCTTACCACTCAAAGCAGGAAAACTAAAGTGCCACTCTCGAAAGATAAAGGACCTCTAAAGATACTCTCTAAGTCTCAAAATCAACATTGCAATCAAAATGTATTGATAGCATGATTATAGGATCAGAAAAAATAACGAGCCTGGCAAGCCAATTTGGGGCCCCTAGGCTAATGATCAGAAGGTCCAATTGGTGTTTCTAAATTCTCAACATTAAGTCCATTCTAAAGCAATGAGAATCATAAAAATACACACATCTTCATACAATTGCGACATTAAAATTTACGAAAAGCAACTACATCCATGCGGAGTTCCTGATTGAATAATCAATTGCATAATCATTCATCCGTACAAACCTTAAAGAGAGCAGATAAAAATCCAGAGCTTGGTGCGACACCATGCTTCCTGCATGACTCAATGTACCTAAAACCAAATTCATCGATATAAAAATTAGAAAAACAAAAACTGTTCTGTATCGTAGTAACATTGGAAAAAATAGTTTAGATTAAATTTCAAAAAAGAAAAGAAAATAAAGAAAGCGCAACAGCGATATTCATAAATAAATAAACAGCTTCAAAATCAAAGAAGCTATCCGATAACTACGGTTGTAGATTAATAATTCATCATTTCTAGCAAGAAATTTTAGGTTTTTATCGAAGAATTCAAATTCTAACCAAAGAAACAATCAGCAACTGAGCCGATAAAGAGTAATCTTTCGAACAAAGGAATAGAACAAAGTTTGCATTGAAAGGGCAAAAAAGAAGAACAAGAGACTTACATTGATCCTAAGGCTGGAATTTTGATGGCCATAGCGATTCAACTCTGCGAGATTTCGAAAGAAAGGTTAGAAATTGTGAGAAAAACAGCAGCCTTTTTCTTGATAATATCTGTTGAATTGGATTTTGCCGTTTTACATTAGATAAGTTGGGAAGGTAGTCTGTAGGAGGAGTTGGGCAGAGAACGACAGATCAATGCAGAAATGGCAAATGTTTTAGTTTATTACCATTAAACGCACAACTGGGCCCCATTTTCAGCTTTTCAGATGACGCTGCGTGTGTTATTATGTATTTATATAAAATTTTAAAAATTTTAATATATATAAAAAATAAATTTATAATATAAAAGAGTTTTAAATGTTTATAAATTGGACAAAACTAATTCAATCTTTGGTTAAACTCAATGTGGACGGTTCTGCTCAAACATAACCAGGTTTAACGGCCACCTCCAAGTGGTATTATTAGAGCTGAAAATGGCTATTGGCTCAATTGTGTTTACATATAAAATAGGAATTTCATTTTCTCCAGCAACAGAATTGTGGGCTCTATACCATGGATTAGGATTATGTTGAAATAGACAGGTTTTACTAAAAATTGACTCTGTTAGTGACCTAGAAAATTTCAAAAGAGATCTTAAATTTAGATCCTTACACTAATATATTGCAAAAGATCAAGGATTTATTATAGAGAAATTAAAATTGTTTTGTGACTCACGTATATTGTAAAGTAAATCAACATGCAGATTGAATGGTAATGCATCATGATAATCTATTATTTTACTTATGTGTATTTGATAGCCCTCCACCTAGCATTTTTTTTTTTTATTTGAAGATATGTTTGGTATTGTTTGGTCAAGGATGATGTAATTGTTTTAAGTAAATCTAGTTTCCTTTTACAGAAAAAAAAAAATTACTTTGAGATATTAAAAAGTAAAAAAAAAAATGAATGAAAAGAACAATAAAATAATTATTTTGTATTTTCTTTGTATTCAACCTTTGTAATTAGGTAAATTTTTTGCTTTTTACGTTTCCATTAGTTACATTGTAATATCTATATTAAAAATTCAAGCATTATATTTGCTTCTTTTGTTCATGGATCAAACATGGTAGCCTTGCTATAGAAGATAACAAGATCACGAAATTAACCAACCTACCATTTTTATATTTTGTACACCAAACCTTCCATATATACATGTACTGTGGTAGGGAAATATGGTAAACTCTTTTCCTTTTTTCTGTTCATAACTAATATGAAACACCTACCAAATCTTGCATTCTCTTAATTAAATCCATTGAATTAATAATTTTATTTTTAATTTACAATAAAAAAAGACTCTTAAAAATGTAAAGTCAATTTTAAAAGTTTTACATTTTTTTTAGTGAATGTACAAGTCTATAAGATAACAATACCCAATGATGTATAATCCTTCTTTTGTTTTTTTAATAAAACAATGATGTGAAGCTTTAGAACGATGATAATGTTTGGTAAGTAAATATAAAAAGCTTTAATTTGTCAAAGTTATCAGGTAGTTGGGTGGGAATAGCTGTGGTAGCTGACTGTTCCATGGTTCCCTTTGGCACCATGAATTGGAATTTTTATTTGTTATTGTCATCACTGTGGATTCTAACTTGGAAGTTGGAAGAAATTCATAAAATGTTGGTATAAAGTTTAAACCAAGTGGGCAGTACTCAAATGTGGAGGATAAAACAAAGTTAAGTAAAAGAATCCAGACACTTGAACGTTTGCTTTATTTTTTCCTCCACTTTTATTTAATCATTGGGATTATGTGCTGTTGACTAAGAAGATTAGGAATTTGTATGCTTTGTTGGATGTTTGTCTCAATCTTTAGGGACTTATTTATGTTTCGGGCACATCTTTATCAGCGTTAGGTATAAAAATAAATAAATAAATTAACCATAATGTAGTGAGGAAGATACTCTAAATATATATATAGTTGCTAGTTGGTAGCACGTATTTTATGGTTATGATTTTGGTGATTCTTTTATTACGGATTAGGTATGCTGCCAAACCTCAAAATGAACATTTTTAAATTAGGTGTGAACTCTGCAGTTTCGCACATCCTACTGATGACCCCTCGGAAGTGTCCAGGCCGGGGTGGGGATGGGTTGGGTCAAGGACTCAAGGTAGACTTTCATGGTTTTGTAGCCGGCAACGTTTGATCGACATAAATGTGCTGCAAAGTAATGTGGTAAGAAGTACTACCCTGAGGCATGAAGCTTATCGATTGCTGTACAAAGTATAGTAAGATTTACTTACGCTTTGGTCGAGGATGGGGTACAAGACTCGCTCATCCATGTCCAATTCCGACCGTTGGATTTATAAAGAAGCTGTTTCAGTTTACGTCAAAGTTTAAACATCGCAAACAATTCAGGCCTGTGGAATCGAACTGTCGAAACCTAGCCATGGGGTATCAGGCCTAAAGTGCAAATAAAAGCCCAAATGGGTCTCGGTTCATTGATTTTTTTGTTTTTCCGACATATGTTAAATGAACCAGCTCGGATGAGGCGCAAAGAGACTTGATCAGTCTAAATTTCATAAAACGAACAGCATATCAAGATAAGTAGCCCAATTTAAATTCTAATCATCTAATGTTTAATGACAGGAAGAATAACAACCTTAAGTTTGCTGCCATCTGTATGTATATTTCGGCTTGTAGACTTTAGCATGGTTATAAATCTAGGCTGGGCTTGGCCCCTAGGTATGGTCTGTAGGCCTGTGTTATTGAATTTGAATTTTATTTTTTAAGTAAAAAATATATATATTAATTAATAAATTAAATATTTAAATACGATTGTATAATAATTATTTAACTCTTATAATTTAAGAATTTCTTCTCTCGAGAATACCATAATAATGGAGATAATAATTATTCAGGGTGAGAGTGCTTTTTAGAAACTACTTATTAATTTTTAATTGTAATCTTAAAAATTTATATTCTTTCAAATAATATTATTAATTGGGATAATTATATAAAGTTGGTGATACAATTACAATACAATATTATTCGTTAATTAGCTAGTTTGATTACAATTGTTAACTAGTTAATTACACAAGTTACATAACTAGTTAGAATTAGACTATGAATAAAATAAAATTTGTACATACAGATCTCATTCATTTTTATGATAAAATATAATTTTATTATAACAAATACAATGATAAAATGATAGAAAAATATTTTTCCAGAGACTATTAACTAGTTAAGATAATTGTAGAAATTCAATGATAGGATAATAATATAATACTATTAGCTAGTTAGTTAGTTAAACACCATTATTGGTTAATTAATTAGTTAAGTTATAAGACTGTTAATTAATTAAAGTTAAATTATAAATAGAATTAATTATATATATTGCATTCATTTTTATAATACAATATTATTTTTTATATAATTTCAAAAATATGATATTTCTTTTATTATAACAAATATAATGATAAAATAATATGAAATTATTTTATCAAGGACTAAGCTATTTTTGTTGTTTTTTTTTTTTTGGCAATGCCTGAATCAGGCAGGAAGATTGACAGATTGTCATTCAGTAATAAATTAAGTAAAAGCATGATATTGATATATGGGATACATCAAGGACTCTCTTGAAAGGAAATCCCTCTTTTAATCAATGCTTATTAAGTAAGGAATATACTCTAGTAAAATAGCTGAATTAAGATCAACAGAATAAAATGATTACCGTCCGTCGCGGGAGGTGCACCGTTATTGTACGACATCTTACAGAGTGGTCCTCCCTCTTTTGTTGAAGGAACACTTGGGTAATGTGAAAAGAATCATCAAACTACCACTTTTAAACTTTGTTTTTTATTCACAATTAACAAAAATTAATATATTAATCTCATACTTTTCAATTGCTATGTAGCCAACCTTTACAACTTTGGGTATTTTCCACTGTTTTTTAACTGCAGCATCACCCCTATTTAATAATTGTACTGATTTAATAATGGCGACGGTTTTGATTGTTTGTAATTGCGCGTTGAAAATAGTCACGAAAGTGAACTTCATTAGTCAACAAAAGAGAAGAGAACACAAACTCGAGCTTAAAAAACTTGGATGGAGCCGGTCTAAATAATCCTAAGCTGACCCCATTCAAAACAATTAATCCTTTTGTGAACTCTCTTCAATGTAAGGGCCCACTTAGTAACTTGAATGACATAAGCAAATCGGAATGAATGTCAAAGAAAGCTGCCTACATGTATTTCTAGGTCTTGGACAGAAAGAATCTTAAAATAAAGAGAAAAACATAAGAAAAGGAAGTGTTTTTGTTTTTTTTACCAATCCAATGTTGCATGACTCTGAAACCTCATTATAATGGACAAGGTTCTTTAGTCTTTTGTCACCTTAGATTTGACAGCCTCAACTTGTTAAAGATGGAATTCGCCTCCCACGCTTTCATTTCGAGTAGGCTCTTCTTCTTCAAGAAAGAAAAAGAAAAAGGTCGCGAAAGAAAGCTCTGTGTCAAAGATTATGGCACATTGACACTATCTTTTTCTCTATGAAGCTTAGCTGCGCTGCCCATCTCTCTCCGTCAAATGCAGTGGAATTTTTTGTTTTTTATCTCAAAAAAAATTGTTAAGTAGTGCACGTGCTCTGGCGAGTAAAGAAGAAGGCTGTTGGCGGAAGTCAAAGGAGTTATCATGGTGAAGGGACCCAGCAGAAGAGAAGACCATGCTTTTTATATTCCCTGTCTCGTGAATTATTATGTTCGACTAATAAGAAGCACGTTACAGCATAGACATGTTTCTTATTAGGTAGGAAAACAAATAATAAGGCACAGTAGCAACAAAATTGGGAAATAGTTTTTATTTTTTCTATTTGTGTGGCCAAAAATAAAAAAGAATATTAGTTTCTACTAATTGCCAGAGCAAGGCCAAGTAGAAAATATACAATATAATATATCCAGGGCTGAGGAAGAATTTTCCATTTCCCCACTGTTTTTGGACCTTTTTCTGACGCAGTAGCACTTCACTTAACATTTATTGGCCAAGTTCCATAAAGAATAATATGTATTGGCCAAGTTGGAAATAATTAAATAAGATGATAAAATAGAATAATTATTTTATTTATCTTTTCAGTATCACATGTAATAAAGTTGCCCAACGAGTTCATTTTCTGACTGATTAGCAAATTACAATTGGCGGTGCAGGGTCAT